GCCATATTCAATTTTTAAAGGACACGTCACCGTTTGCGCATTTTCAACTTCGTCGTTTGTAATCCGAGTTAATCTTCTCCCGCATTTCACAACCTTGTTCATCTATGGTTTATTATTGCCTCTTTGGTGTTTTTCTATCTTAGTAAACAGTTATTTTCAAGTTTCCTTTGATTTAAAAGTAATTTTATACGTGGACAAAAGTAACTCAAAATACCCTGACTGAGCTTCTATAATATCCCTTGAAAACGAATTTACCTCGAAAACTAAGCTATCATTGGCTGTATTTGTCTGTTTAGTGAATTAATTACTACATTTATACGATGGTCGCGATTTCCCTTCACCTGGCCTACAGATTTTTCCTTTTGTTACTTTTTCTTAAAAAAAATTCTGCTTTGGGACTTCGTAGTGAAAGACAGACAGACAGACAGACAGACAGACAGACTGACTGACTGACTGACTGACTGTCAGACCGTCAGACTTTACAGGAAAAGTGTAAACGCACTTTTCTTGTCTTGATCTGTTTCAACCAAGAAGATATTACCAAATTAGATTATGAGCTCGAGATTTGTATGAAGTGATTTATAGTAGACGACGCCGAAGGCCGAATCAGCTATACTACCCCAGAGATGTCGAAAGCATATAATCTAATTCTGTTAGTAGAAATCTAACTGAAATTTCACAAATGATTTTTTTCCATTTGTTTTATTCTATTTATTAAAAGTTCTTATAGACTTATGGACTGCATATTGCTGCAGACAGACAGGGACAGGTGAAATCATATTCGCTGGGAGATTTGCCACCAGATTCTAGAAGCTAGATGAAATTTTACATTTTTTATATTGACCGAGTCAGTCTAAGCTTAGTCTTAACTCCCGAAAATTCAGTAAAAGACGTCTTTTCTTCACGCGGGTATAAGAACCCTTGTTCAAGAAACTCTTGACGTGGCTCACTCTGATTGGTTGGTGGGCGCAAGTAATGACCGAGTATAATTTATTACGTGTTACGTCGTCGGTATGGCTCTTTCCGGTCGGTTTCTAGATACCTTGAGCTTGGGAAATAATGAACCGAGCGAAGAGAAAAGAAGAGAAAACATTTCTAAAAGTAAAACGTAAAAAAAAACTCGTGTGAACTCTCCATTTAGGTGACTGGCTAGTATACTGCGGGACTACATAGCAAAATATTTGGTTGGTAAGTTGACCTTTCGGTAAAAATTTGATTGCAAGATTCCTAGCAAAAGCTAAGCAAAATAGATATATAAGACGATCGGTAAAATAATCGTGCACATATATCGTATAGACTTATCGTTTCTTCGATTAGAAGCTTTTAATCAAATAACCGTCCACATGAACTCATTCTGTAAGGCTCGCTGTCGAGATAATCTTTGCCATTGAGAGACAACAAAAGGATTAATCGCCCCCGGCTTTTATTCGAGGAAATGGGGTAACACGATACATGACACAAATGTATTAACATGATTTACAAGCGGAGACAGAAACTTAGAGTAATTTACTGAGCCACTGACGTAGGAAATTAACAAGTAATTAAGTTGTGGCTCAATGCACTTTGCTATATTTTAACTCAATGAAAAAGATCCTCTCTTTGTAATGGTTGACCATTAAAAGCCGAAGAAATTGTTCAGATCTGTCAGAATAAATGAAGTCTGATTAACAGGATATTTCTTTTTTATACTATGCAATCCATTACCAACTGTACAATGAGTTCGTTAATTGACACAAGAAATATTAGCGGGACATGTAACGCACGCTATTCCGGCCTATTAACTATTCACTAAAGCAATGTAAATTTCAGTTTTGTCATCAATTATTCAAAACTTCCAACTGATTTTAAACTTTCCTTTCAATTACATGACCAAGACAATCTTAGGGACCATTTCACATTTTGTGAAATAGACAGAATCGTGAAAGATACCAAAATATTTCAAATTTGAAAGCGACAAAGGTAACTGTATAACTCAAAAAGTAATAAACAGATTGTCTGAATAGTTTTTAGTTTATTTTGTTATCTCTAATGCCCATCCTCTTCAGATCAATAAATCCCCAGCTATTTTCTCATCAAAGCAATTGTTGTGCCTTGGTGCAGCATTTTAAGAAAGCCTTTCAAAATTCCCAATTTTGCGATAAAATTGTCGTAGTATGTGACTGGAAATTTCTCAAAATTTAAATAAAGTGTACTTATACTTTATGTTTCAAGAGGATCTGATTTGTGCGTGGTCTGATATTTTAAAATAAATTTTCAAAAAATTAATTGTGGCAGAGGTAATTAGACTTGTGTGTTTTCTTCAATTTTAAGAACGTTTAAGCTTACAGTTACCCTAAAAACCCCGAAATGGAAAAAGAATATTCCTTATTTGCCTTTTGCCTCTTCAAAGCCTTCGATCATTATCTCGTCTCTTTGGCATTCGTTTGCTGTTTTTATTTTTTGTTATTATTACTTTTTTTACGCATGGTTAAAATTTAAATTTGCACCGAAGCTCAATATCGTTGGTGCGGCGGGACACCTTATTTCAATGGGCTATACTTTTGTTAATGGCATAAAAGATTAACTGACTGTTTCGGACTACGATTCATTCCTGGTTTTGATATCCATTAGGGTTCTCGGTTGTTTCACGAATGAATATTACTAGCTATGTTTTCAGCGAATGGGGAAAAAATAGCAATAAGAGCTCATTGAAACAGCCTTACAATTTTTTAATGCCGTTATATATTGCATTGGATTTCAGTGATCGAGCGTGCAAAGAACTATAGCAGAATGCGAGATATTCTTTTATTAAAAACACCGTAAAAAGAGTCGTGCTTCTTTCAATCATTGCTGAGGCCATGGTTATATATCACTGATCCGCTTCAGGTTTTATATTTTGATGGGTTTGCCACAAGTTTCATATCTTACATAAACACTTTTAAATATAATTTGCGCGTACATGCAAACCGCTGCAATGTCATGCACCTTAAGATGCAATTCAACATTCAGAGTGAACGGCAAAAACGATGTTACCCATACGGTTAGTCTTACTGCGTTTAACCGTTAAACTGAGTTCGTCTTTTGAGAAAGCAAACTAAAATAAATAAATCAATACTCGTTTATGATTTGTGAAAAATCTGAATTTCAACAACAAAAATTGTGCTATAGCCATGCTGTTGTTAATTGCATGAGTGATTAAACGAATATATGAAGTATCTACCAGCGACTGCATGATATGTATTAGGTTTGTTTCAGTTTTTGCTTTTTCTTTCATAAGATAAGTCTCGTATTGACTACAGAGACTACAATACTGAGAAAATACTCTTTGTGAAGCAAATTACATTGGGTTATATCCGCATTCTCTCTCGGGATATCAAGAAAAAGTTTCAAAATAAGCGACTTACCGTTGTCTTCCTTTTTAAATCTTCCTTTGAGATGAGATTTCGCATTGGAACGAAGTTTACTCGAATACTTGGTGGCTTCCGCACCAAATGACAGTTCGTATTCGACCAAACTAATTCATGCATTCAAACTTTACTTCTAATGTTTCCTAAGACAATAATGCTTTGGCATGAATTATTTATTAACCGTAAATGACGGACAACCTCGTAATCACGTCTAATAAATTTGTTCTCCTTGGCGAATGTCATATTTAAGCGGTATAAGCTGATTGGACCAGTAAGAAATCGATATTGCGACAGAATTATTTGTTAAGGAAATAATTCCGATTATTATTTGTCCATTACTCACGGAATACACGATATCCAAGAATAATTCTTGGCTCGAAAAGAGCTGACACTATTTCAATGAAGGCTGTGCATGTGTAGCACAAGTGCTGGTTTGTTAAAGAAGCGATTTTTCAATTCTTAGCAGCGATTCTCAATTTTCTCTAGAGAGATTTGAATAAGAAACCGCTGTCACCATCAAGTGGGTGAACCTTACACGGAAGGCACTTCGGGTTCGCCAATGTTAGCGTCCATCGATAAATAATATATTAAACTAAAACTGCCATTTTCAATCTTCATTGTACCTCTGTTTTCAACTGTCAATGCCTGCCATTATACTCTTTGTACCAAATAGAAGAACCATAGGACTCCACGAAACTCAAAAGTGATAAAATAAGTGAAAAGTGAACAATATGTAACTGGAAACTCAATTTTTCTGCGTATCCCAAATTCGCACAGTAATTTGGGATTAATTAAGAATTCGCTTACACAGTAATTTAAGTAATTCATGTTGTTGATTGCCTGTAATTTTCTAAAACATAAGAAATGTAAAATTTATTTTATATGTAACTTAACAATGAGTCGGCACAATGTGAATTGCAGGGCCTGGAGTCGAGGACCTCACCGAAAATGAGCAAAAAAAAAATGATATCGCAGTTTCTTCCTTTAATTCAAAAAATCAAATGATTATTTTGTCGTGAAAGTGTCATGAAATAAAGTATTGAAATTAAGTAATTTTCCTACGATAGAGAGCTTTTTAAATAAAGCATTTCTCAAACATTGCATTAGATTTTAAAGGAGTAAAGTTCTATATGGACAAACTTAGAAAACTGTTCGCTATCAAGGCTTTTTCGTAACAGTTGATGAATGCATGGTAATGTGTAAAGAGTTTAAATCTATCAAAGCTGACTACAATCTCTTCAAATCATCTTTCGATTATCAATTCATTATCTAATATCTGAGTTTTCCGTCGTTTAGGAAGATGTAGAAGAAGGTGACTGCATTAAACCTGTTGAAATTTATTACGAGGCTGTATCACAAGCACTGATGCAGCGAACAATTTCACTCCAAGATAGCAGACGTTTTGGTTTGCTTCTGTTAATACGAGGAGGCACCGAGAATCTGCTCTTTGGGTCTTTTATTTCTCGGGCTACTGTCTTGCACAGTCTTCGTCTAACTTCTACTACTTCTGCTTCTACGACTTGACAAACAAATACATACTCATTTAAACATCCTATCATTAGCTATGTGTGGGCCACACGGGTCGAACTGACCTTGGAGGATTAAACATTCTTTTAGAATACTAACCCTAACACATTTACGCGACTTTAAGAAACGAAAAACAAAGTTCTTATAACAACAAATAGAAACTAAGGTTTAGAGAGCAGAAGCCTAAGCAGGATCTTTCGTGGGAGATCCAGACCAAGGCCAGTAGACGAACCCAAACATGACCATCGATGGGGTATGTTAATCGAAGCTTAAGTAAGATGAACAACTTGGAGTCACAAGACTCTCTGTGTGGGCAATCGGGCCACAAGACTAACCTGGTTGCTGCAAAATGATAAGCAATTGATGATCACGAACGAAAACTACTCAATTCTATAAAAGTTATTGAGCTTCATAACAGACCGTGATATTTGAAAATACTATCAAATTGCACCAGCCCTATACGTATACACGAGTGCAATTTGAAAGAATTTACAAATATCACGAGTAGTGTAAATCCTTAATTGCTCGAGCCTTCATACGATTACCCATTTATTATACGACTGGGAAGTCCCGAAAGCGCTAGCGTTAATTTGCACTGCAGAGTAAATTAAAAATTAACGATAAGTTGACCAGCTCTTAGCCAATCACAATGAGGTAATTTTTTCAATTATATAATAACTGCTATTTATCTCGAATCTCGAGTAAAGTAAACGACATCAATTTCAAGACAGGTATGACGGAATGAAACAGAAGCAAAACGTTTGCCAGAAGATCTACAAAACTTCTTCGAAGTTAATTGTCGCACGACGGAAAGTCTTAGCCACTGTTTTTTCAATAGTTCAAGGTATTCGTGCTTTCTGTAGTTCGTTTTAGAAATAAATCCTTCGTTTCGTTTTAACAAAAATGTAACTGAAGCGGCAGTTGGTCGAGAGGGTGAGCTCATGAGCGCGCTCAAAACTCAGTAAGTGC